TGACACACTAGGCGGCAGTGCTGCTGCTTCACGCCATGTCTGTGCTGCCCAGCACAGCAGCAGTGGCCATGTGGAGCAGCCCTAGTGCAGCTCAGAAGGAGCGGTGAAGCAGCCGCACCGCTGCCTAGCACGATGCAGGCTTTGGGTAGGCAGTTGCAGCAAACACTGCCCTTGGCGGGGCATGCTTTCCTTTCCATCAAGCAGCAGTTTCTGCGTTGCTGCTGCTGCTCAGCCCCGATGGGCAAGCCTGGAGCTGGCTCAGTCCAGGCTGAGCAGCAGCAAAAGGAACGAACTGATGCTCAGCGCGGGCAAAAAGCGGCCCCTCCCGCTGCCAGCAGTTCCCTGCTACAGCCACTTGGAGCCCACACAGGACTGCCTGTGCCAGCTCTCCATTGCCACAGCTGTCCCACGGGGTGGCAGTGACATGGCGGAAAAGCAGGACAGCCCCACATGGGCTGCGAGCAGCTATAGCAGGAGGCACCGGCCTCGGGGTGGGGGTGTGCTTTTCTTCTGCGCTGAGCAGCAGTTTGTTCCCTGCCGCTGCTGCTCAGCTGAGACATGCAATCGCAGTGTGCATGGGGTCAGGGCTGCACGCTCATCCCTACCTCTACCATATAGCACGACCCAGAGCAGGGTGGCAGGAGCATGGAGTCCCAGCCAGCTGAGGCTCTATGGAGCCGGGGCAGCTCCCTGCTCTTCCTGCTAGTGCAACCCAGCCCAGCTCCATAGACCCCTGCCCTCCTGCATCCCACGCTCCTGCCACCCTGCTCTGGGCCCTGCCAGCGCCATCCCCAGGACACCGACACAGGTGCTGCACTTCTGCACACCTGCTTGTTTCCATTCCCCTCCACCACCACTGCTGGTTTCCCCAGTTTCCTGCCCACCCACCGGCCAGGTGCTCTGGACTACCTGGTTCCCAGCTGCATGGCTGAACCATGAGGCTCTGCAGGAGCCCACCAGGCCCCAAGGACTGGAGCAATCCCAGTCTCCCTGGTCAATGGTCCTCCCCTGCCTCCCTGCCCCGCCCCCCCTTCTTAACTGAATTTCCTGCTCTAGCGCATGGAGGCATAAATAGCCCAACAGTCCCAGCTGGAGGGGAGGCAGGAGCCTGCCGTGGCTTCCCCTGGGTCCTACTGTCCCTGGCTCCTGTCATCGTTGACAGGAGCCAGGGACAGATAAATATGAATTTTCTCAATTTTCTAGGGGCCCCACAGGCCAGATAGAATGGCCTAGTGGGCCGAATCCAGCCTGTGGGCCATATTTTGCCCACCCCGGTGTACACAGTCAAGCCCTTACCTCAGTTGAAAAGTGCAAAGTATCAAGTAGTTAAATGAATAGAGGATTGTTGGGGGTGGAGTAGATCTGGGCAAGGAGGAGGTCTCTGGACATGCATGCAAGGAGAAAAGGCAGTAGAAACAAAAGAGAAACATTTTGAGCAGAATATTCTAGAAGTTGAGGGATAAGTTTCTGACTGTAGCCTCTCCATTGATTTGAGATCTAGTGGGGGGATGGTATGGTAGAAGGGAAAACCTATCATGGCAGCAGGCTTGCCAAGCTGTAAAAGTGAGAAGAAATAAAAGATGAGGAGAAATCTAGAAGAAACTGAAGAAAGCCCCAAGCTAATAACATATGGCTACAGTGTTCATTTAATGTCCTCCTAATACAGCATGACAAAAATATCCCCCAAATATCATGATTAATATAGTGAGCTAGAAATAGTTCACTTCCCAGTGACTTCACAAGTATCTGCTTCAGTCACCTTTGGTAAATAAGATAGCTGAGTCATAATTCAGTTTTCTGATGTAGCTACCAAATTAATCTGAAAAATAGCAAAAAACCCCCCACTGCTTTAAATTGCATAGTGTGTACCTTCTAAAAATGAAACCTACATCTATCTCTGAGTTGTGAATAATATGCTTTAAGGTTATATTAAACAACAAAAACACACTTTTTGTAGAAAACAGTTATTAAATCTAGGCTTCCTGGCCCATGATTTAAATTAAATCCAACCTGGTCTTGATGCAACTTCTGGTAGCTCTTTTGAATTTTACAGAAATGCCATCGGTACATGTTTTATGTTAAAAAATGTATAGAATGTTAAAAATGAAGGCCGTGATCCTGCATACACATTCAAGATATATATTTGTTTAAGCATGAATAGTCCAACCTAGGGTATTGTTTAAGTATGAAGTTAATTATCAGATCATACGACAGTAAGGCTGGAAGAGGACCATGGTAAGTCATTTAGTTCAGCGTGCTGCTGTGGGAGCTAACCTGCTCTTGAGAACTTCCAGGGGATAGAGATCCCAGTTCTCTGGGTAGCCTGTTCTAATGCTTGATCAACCTCACAGTGAGAAATTTCTTTTTAATCTCCAACCTACTTGCTTCTGGCCACAAAGAAAAGTCTCTTTCTTTGTAATCCCTCTTTGTAATCACCTTACAGTCATTTTATAAGGTATTTATTTGTATTTGAAATATCAGGGTTAAAAATGAACCTGTGTTCAAAAACAGTTCCAGTTTTGACAGTGAAAATGTATGTATACTGCCAGCATGTTAAATGCAAGCCAAAATTTTTAAATAAAGTCAAGCTATGAGGTGCTTTTGAAAACCCCCACACTTAATTTGCTTAGGAGCACTGTCATCGTGCCTCCAATTAGAAATCATAATGAAAAGGTGGCCTGATCAAAGCATTTCTGCTTGGACTTGTAAAGGTTCCTATTATTTGAAGATGTCAATTATAGATATAGCTCTGGTATTTGTTTGTATTGTATTTAAATTTGTGGTATTCTCAAAATGATTTCTTTTTCTAAAACAAAGGTGAACCAAGAAAATCAAGCGCTGCTTTTTTTTTTTTTTTTTTTTTTTAAGAACCAAGGCAAAAAAAAATTAAAATCCATATTAGCAATTTGAAACTCTAAAATAGGACACATATTGCACTCCATCTCTAGAGTTTATGAATGCTGTCATGTTCTATGTTTTGACCTTTGACATACTATTTTTCCCTTAAACACCTGACAAAAAGGGAACTTTTTTCGTTAAAATATGAATGCAATTTGATTTGGATGAGTAGTAGCTAGAATGTTAATGTCTAAAGATAGATGGAAGGAGGCACAGTAAGAGTAAAGCACTAATGGCTCCACATAGCTGAAATTTAGTGTCTAAAATGTGGTAGAACTACTGATGTTAAAAATGCAGAGAGAATAGCAAACGATCATGCGGTAGCTTGCTCTAGAAACCAGCAGGGGGAGTTTCAGCACGCTCAAACTCTAATGTTGCTTTCATTGTTGGAAAAGCCCATATGCGTTCACGTTCCTTATCTCTCCAACCCCCTCCCTTTCTTTTTCATGGTCCCATAAACATGTCTCAAGGGTATGTTTCAAATTGATTACAGACAATTTGCACAGGATTTTGTGATGAACGCAGATGTCAGAAGCAGCTCATCATCTAACGCCATTGCGGACCTCCAGGAGGATGAGGATGGTGTTTACTTCAGCTCCTATGGGCATTATGGGATACATGAAGAGATGCTAAAGGTTAGAAAGTGAGCACAAATGCGTCTTGCTTGTACTAAAGAGGAAAGGAGGACTGAAACACGCTGTGCCCATAAATATGCTGCAGAGCAGCTGCATTTTTAACCCTTTCAGTGCTTGATGGTATTTTATCTGTGAATCTCAGGTAGAAGAATCACAGGAAAAATAGCTGCTTTTTTCAGCTCTTAACATACCTAAATCTTTGTATAAATTCTTCCTGTTTGTCGCAGAAGCACTGGGAATGTAAAACTGCAGATATAGTTGAATGTTAGAAATCAGTCAAGACGTGTTCTATTTGCACTTCATGCTGTGTGTGTTGTAGAAGTAAATTTCAGCTGAATTCTGTAATATTCCCAATACAGTGCATAACACAATATAGCACAAATAATGAAGGTCTCCATCATTTTTAATATTCCCATAAGACTGAAATTGATGAGGCAAAAATGTACTTTAACCCTTAAGTGCTGTCTTCTTCAGTTGACTTAGCTAATCATCTCAGTTTAGCATACTGAAAGCAATACACTGAACAATTAGGAAGATTGTTAGCATAATACAAGAGGTCAAACACGTGTAAACAAATTTCTATACAAACTTTAAGTATTAAGGTACCTTTGCTGTGATGTGGCAAAATTGCGTTATGATGTTTTCATTCCGCAACAGAAAATTCTTGTCTCCCTTCATGATACTTTTCTCGGCTATTAGAGACTAGTAGATGGTTTTTTTTTAAAACTGATTATGAAGTTAAACAAAATAGATGAAGACATGAAGTGTGCTCACTTTTGTGTAGCATTGGTAACAGATTTAGCTTCCTGGTATCTAAAAAAAAAAAAAAATATAAAAGTTTCTCGCCTTTAGACCTAAATCTGCTTTAAGGCAACCTTGAACAGCATTGTGAGTATATAGCGCTAGTGCATCGATCCTGCAGAATTGTCTTAATAGAAAAAAAAATCTGGGAATAGAAAATAATATACTTTCTAAAATAAAAATAAATGGTCAAGAGAAGTTCCCAGGACTTGGAAACTGATTAATACTGGTACAAATTTGCTCCAGTGTAGAATGTCTGGACGACTAATACTCTTATTTATAGAATAGAGGAATTAATTTGTTAACTAGGGTGAAAGGGAGGAAAGCCCACATAGTCAATATACATAAAGTTTACAGAGCTTGATTTAGAGCTACAGTTAATGCCTGAACATCTGAAGAACTTGTAGTTCTGTAGTTTATAGAACTATTTATAGTTTATAATATAAAATTGTTCCAAAGCTGAAAAAAAACTTTTGTGATCCCAAAATCTCTCCATTAGTTTAGAGCCTTTTAGAAGTGGAAGTGTGAAAGATCAGGTGTTCATGGTGTCTGCTTCACAACATTTCCATGGAGAAGAATGTTGTGGTTTTGAACTGATAGAACAGTTAGTGGATCATTCCTTAGAAATGGCTGTACTCTTTATTTAAACATTGCTTGAGGATTGTCCGAGATAAACGTACTTATTTTTCAGTTTTCATTCTAATAAAAGGCTGGAAGGGAATTGATGAATAGAGAGACTTGAAATGAATGGCTATAGCTCACTAGAGCAGCAGTGCATGTAGTCAGGACAGCAGTTGGAATTCTATTGATTAAGTTGGGGCAGTGCTGAGTAACCCGAGTGGTGAGGTTGTAAAGCTGAAAGCTTTCCAGCTCGCTGCTTTCCCGATTGGTACTGAACCTTTTGATTTTTTTTTCTTGGCTGCAAATCCAGTTACAGTGCTGCAAAGAGAGTACTAAATATACAAGTTCTTTAAAATCCGTCCTCTCAAATAGAAGGCTTTATAATTTACAGTTTTATCAAAAAAATATTAATTCGTTAGTGCTTAAGATTTTTATACCTTTTGTTTTTGTTTTTTTTAAATATATTTTGTGAAGAACTAATTTCCCCTATCCATAAAGACACTTATCATATTAGAATGTAAAGATAAATCTTGCAGAATTATATGCTTTATTCTCAATCAGTTGTTAACTAATTGCTTTTCTAATAAGATGAACTTCTTGGCAATTGTTCAAGAAAAGCTATCCCTATATAGTTTCCTACATTGAATAGGAATTCCTGTTCCTTAACTGCTCAGTAGTGCTGTGCTAACTTTGAATTCAGGCAGTGGCATCCAAGTCTTTTCTTAATCTAAAGTAACACTGTGGTCATTTTAACCGGAGTCATAGATAAATAAAATGGCTTTTTAATTTCCTTTTCCTTCATTCTGACGCTTGAACCTCTGGCAGTTGCGACTGGGACTCTAAAACTTACGGCTTGCTGTCAGCTTGAGTGCCTGCCTATGCATATTACGTGGATCAATATGTTAGCTCACTGGTAAGTTGAGCTAATATGCCAGCTTACATACGCTAATGTACTACGGATATTCAGATGCGTGCTTGAAAGCCTGCCAGCTTCTTGGGTCATGTTGCGTTAGTGCTTGGTCATTTTCTTTTTTTTTTTTTTTTAATTTAGCATTCTACTTTGTGAGCTGTACAGCCTGAATGACTTATGCTCTTGCAGATGCTAAGACAAGTATGTCAGCGTTGGCTGGCTAGTAAGAATGATTACACGCAGAGCTGGCCTTAGGAGTGGGCAACCGCCCAGGGTGCCATAGTCAGGGGGTGCCACACAGACGCATGTAAGCAGCCCATGCTCACAGCAGCGCTGTCCTCTTCATTTGGCCCTCCCCTGGCCAATCTGTGCCCGAGACGGGAGGAGCAGTGCCCAGCCCAGCCTGCCCCTCACCTCCAGCAGCTGCTCAGGAGGAGCTGGGCTGGGCATGTGCCAGCAGGGCAGAGTGGTGCCTGCTCCAGTCTGCCAGCCTTGCTCTTGCTCTTGCCCAGCAGCAGTGGTGCCTGCCTGGTGTGCCATGCCGCTCTGTCTCCCCTTCCAGACTGTGCCCCACACTCCTACCTGCCTGTCTCTGCCTCTGCCTTTGTTTGCAGCAGCGCCGCTGACTTAGTAGAGGCACCAAAATACAAATTATCTCAGAGCACTATTTTCCGTAAGGCTGGCTCTGATTCCATAAGTAACGCAGGGTAACCTGGTATCAAATCTGATCAATCGCTCTTGTTTATAACAAAGCAAGAAGTTTGGGTCACATACCTTGTTTTTTCCATTTTGATCTGTAATATATTTAAGTTGGTTCATGTCTCAAGTCTTCATATAAGATAGTTGTTTTACATTGAGCTTCCATACCTTTCAGTTAGTGTTGTTGGGGTATAAGTTGATTTTTAATAACTTTCAAAAATGCTGTTGTTCAGGAGCTAAGTACCCCAGACTTTGATACTGTAAATTACATTTTGTATATACCTGGATGCCTTTATTACAGCCTGACTACTTGTTTTATAAAAAGTCAGTAGGATTTGCTTCTAAATAAAGTTTTTCATTTGGGAAAGACTTTGTTATATGATGGGTCCTAAAATTGTCTAGAAGCATCTCCTCTTTCAGCCTGTTTTCTGTGCATAACTGGATGATGTAAATGCTGTTTCTATTTTTAATTTATAGGACAAAGTGCGTACAGAAAGCTATCGTGACTTCATATACCAAAACCCCCACATCTTCAAGGATAAGGTAAAGGAAGCAGCTCAGCAGATGAAATATTTCTGCAGTGCTTGATTTTCTTCTGGTAGATATCCCTTGGGTTTTGGATACCTCCTAGTTCTGGGAATAGAGTACCATTCAAAGGATTTGATTTAATGTACTCCAGCTTTATTACGTGATAGTGTTATTCAACTGCTGGAGGGTGCAGAGAGCTGATAACAGAAATGCTGATCATTGTTGTCATTGTTCTGTATGCTGTCTCGGAGTGTTCATTAATTATGATGACATGGTTAAGTTAAACCTTTCTTGTCCAGTATTTTAAACTGAATCTATTTTGGACAGGCTCTATTTATGGCAATCCCAGTACATTTTTAACCCATATCTAACAGGATAAAAGCATTATAGGGGCCCTAATGAAATTAGTGTTGGGACCAGATTCAAATATAATTATTTTATATTGTGAATCGGGGGCTTTTTGCCAGATTATCAAGTGATTGAAATGGAGCCAAAACTCCTGCTTCATAGCTTTTGGTGTCTATTATTTCTGTTGAGATGCTCTTATTCCCAGTTGCTAATGCAACTATGGTTTTCTTTGTCCTATTGCTGGTAAACTTTTTTTTCCCCACCAGTTATTTTGGCTATTTTAAAAATGCAATTTGAGGTCATTTCTGATAGATCCTCATCCTTTTAATTGACTTCTCTAGATACCTAATGTTTGTCTGTCTTAAGGAAAAACTCCCACTGGGCAAGAAGTACCTAATTTTCCCTTTCTTAAATTTGACTTCTTACCCATTTTCTGGATGAAGTTTTTTAATTATAGTGGTACCACAGGGCATGGAATAATGATATTCCTTTAATGGTTCTTCAGGTGGACATCAACTAAGGTTTTGAAGTTGGATCTTGTTTTATTTCATGTTGGGATCTTGCAACTTCCCTATGAAAAGGAATTGTACTACAAGTATATTACAAATGGGGTTGAGTTGCAAACACTCTGGAGCAGGGGTGGGCAAAATATATATTGTGGGCCAAATTTGGCCCACCAGACCATTCAGTCTGGTCCATGGGACCCCTAAAAAAAAATTAGAAACTTATCTGCCCATGGCTACCTGTCTAAAGTGGCAGCAGGACCCAGCAGCCACAGCAGCAAGGCCTGCCCAGCCCTGCCTCACCCCCCAACTGGAAGCTTCTGCTTAGCAGAGGCTTCTGGCTTAGCAACCCTGGAGCTGTGTCCTTGCCCTCACTCCATCTGTGAGTACAAACTTGGGTAAGAACGGTGGGGAGGGGAGGACCGCCGGTGGTTGCCCCAGTCCTTAGGGCTGGACCAGGCCAGGCTGGCTCCTGCTGTGTCAAACAGTCCCGACCATGCAACCGGGAATGGCATGGTGCAAGAGGGGCGGGTGGGCTGCAGGCAGGAAGGTGGGGAATTAGCAGGAAAAGGGCAGTGGTCGCAGTTGCAGGGGTGGGAGGGGAAGTGGTGGTGGGTGGGCAGGTGGGAGTGCAGGGCCAGGATCAGTACCCTGTGGCCAGGGGCAGCATGCTCATATAGCCCAGCTGGCAGGGGCTCTTCCTGCCACGGGCCATGTGCGCCCTGAGGCCTTGCTGTCTGCTGCTGCCACTGGTGGCAGTAGCTGTAGGCAAGGAGGGACGAGGTATGGAGGGGGGTGTATTTGTAGTGGGGTCCCACATGTACACCTCACCATACACATGCACCTACACCCCCCTCCCCTTGCACCAGCATACACATGCACTCACACCTAAGCCATTCTCCCCATCCACGTATGCCACAGCCTTCCCAGCCACCCTCCCCTGGCACAGTCACAGCTCCCAACAAACCCCATACCCACCCACACCCCACATAGCCACATACACACGCCCCCCCACACATCCACATACACACTTACCCACACACACACCCCTCCCTACCTCCCCACAATATACAAAAATAAGACTTCGTTTTAAGCTATTATACAATCACCTCCATGTACACTACACAAATACATGCAAACAAGGACAAAAATATTTTTTGAAACCAAGTTAATGAATGTTGTAATAGATGTTTAATTTTTAGAATATAGTTTTTGGGTTTTTTTCTGGTTCTGAGATGGCAACCCCTCTTGCTGAAAGAAGTACTTCTGGGGGCAGGGGGAGGGACTTCTGATGGCAAAGTTCAGGGGTTAGGAGGCAAGACTTCTGGTCCCAAGATGGCAACCAGGGCACATGGTACCTGTCAAGAGACAGGGCTGCCTATGTGGCCCTCAACAGCTTGCCAAAACTCATTAAGTGGCCCTCCAGCCGAAATAATTGCCCACTTCTGCTCTGGAGGGTAGGCCACATGTGTAGTACTGTGTTCAGTTTTGGTCCCCCCACTACAGATAAGATGTGGAAAAATTGGAGAGAGTCCAGCAGAGGGTGACAAAAATGGTTAGCGGGGTGGAGACATGACTTAGTTATAAGGAAAGGCTGAGGAAACCAGGCTTATTTAATCTAGAGAAGTGGAGACTGAGAGGGGAGTTAACAGCAGCCTTCAACTACCTGAAAGAAGGTTCAAAAGAGGATGGAGCTAGACTGTTCTGAGTTGTGGCTGATGACAGACCAAGGAGCAGTGGTCTCAAATTGCAGCAAGGGAAGTTTAGGTTAGATATTAGGAAGAACTTTTTCACTAGGAGGGTAGTAAAGCACTGGAACAGGTTACCCAGAGAGGTGGTAGAAGCTCCATCCTTGGAGGTTTTCAAAATGCAGCTAGACAAAGCTTTGGCTGGGATGATCTAGTTGGGGATGCTTTGAGCAGGGGATTAGACTAGGTGATCTCCTGATGTCTCTTCCAACCCTGATTTTTCTATGATTAGGCTTTAAAATGACCTTTGTACAGACACAGTGGGGAATTACTAGCTAGGCTCAGTACTGCGGAAAAGAAGCTGAGGGTTACTGTAGAATAGGAAGCTGAATTGGAGCAAAAGGTATGCTCTTTTGGGGGGGGGAGGTGGGCGGGAATACAACAGCACTTTGAAATGTGTTAATAGGAGGGTCACTTCCAAATTGAGAAAATGATCCTTTAATTCTGTTTGGCACTGATGAGGCTTCACTTGCAGTACTGTGTCCAGTTTTGGTCCTCATACTTAGAGAAAGCTATGAACAAATTGGTTGTCCATCAAAAAAAAGAAACATTAGAGATTTGGGAAATGTGTTTTATATGAGAAAAGCCTAAATGAACTGGGACTATTTGGTAGTCCATCTGACCAGTATGTGAGCTTCACCCTGAGGTTCTTTCTTGAATGTCAGTCAGCATTCTGGAGATTGAAGGCTGAGGCCCAACCCTCTCAAGTGGGATGGGTGGGCAAGGCTGGTTGTGTGCCCTCTGTCTGTGGTGGCCTTAGGTTCCCCTCTCAGGGACCCTTTTGCTGCTCTGAAATCCCTCCATTTGTATTTTCTCCCCTCTGATGACTCTTCATCTCTGGTCATCATTGATTGATCTGTCTGTGGTCATTATACTGTTCACATTCTGTCCTGTCACCATATTCCTTTGTTTCCCACAAATCCATCATGTGCATGAATCTCAATTTGGTTATTTATTGGGCCTCCTAATTTGGTCTGTCTACCAAAACTGTAACTCCCAAGGGCCCCACAGTTGAGCACTGACCTGGTGCCAGTGCTGCAGACTCCTCTATCTCTGTTTGGGTACACTATTCATGTTATGGAACAGTGTGGTACATGTCTTCATTTTCCCAGCCTCTCTCTCTCCTGGCTTCAGACACACTGGACCTTGAAGGAAACTTTGTCACAAACAAGCTTTTAGAAATTAAGTAATCCTTGTCATTGCCCTGGACCATTGTTTTAATTCACTATCTACCTTACCTACAAGCAAATTCTCAAAAACAATCCTCTAAACATTAAGGGTGCACTGATAGAGTTTTTTTGGGCCGATACCAATGGCCAATTTTTAAGGAGCCATATTGGCCAATACCGATCCAATCCTGATATGCAGCCAGGCAACTTGGAGACCAGCATTGGGCTGGTAGGTCCATTGTGGGGGAAGGGGGTGGGGGCAGAGCAGATCGAGGCCTCAAGGTGAGGGAAGGAGTGGAGCTGAGACAGGCACTGCTCAGCCAAGGCAAGACAGGATGCAGGACGGAGCCACGGCTCGTGCACGGAGGGTGGTTCCTGCCACTGCACACGCCCCAGGAGGACATGGGGAGCATGTGCCCCCGGATCTGCACAGAACAGGGCAAGATGCCGCTGGGGGCTGGGGTCAGGGCTGCACTGGGCTCTTCCCATGTGAGGGGGAGTGGGGGGCTGAGCCAGGCTGCACTT